TAAGTGTCTACGTAAATGATTTAACATGTTTGATTTTTTTCCCCTATAAATAACTATATGTGATTATTTTACCTCCTGAACGCAGAAAACTCAACTGCGATATTCAAAGGCAACAAATGTGGGGTAACTAGAAAACAAACAGTGGTGTTTGAAGTCGATTAACTTATCTGTTAGCTGTCAACAATAACCCTCTGTTTCAGTGGCATTATCAGGGATGCCACAAGGAGTGGTCTAGCGAGGACACAGGAAGGACTGATTTCGCAAATTTAAAAACCTAAAACCAGTCTCTTTCTATTAATGTGTTTACTCACAGTAGGCGTAAATTCGAAGCCTATGTAAGCTGATGTTTCTGTTTAGGATAACGCACTTGATTCACTATTATACAGTGTACACGTGTTATCAGAATCATGATTAACATGGTCACAAGGCAGTTAGGAAAAGTGTATTTCACAACCTCTTAGCTGGGGGGGGGGGGGGAGCAAGTGGTTCGAAGAATATTACTTTTTGGACTCCAATGAATAATTTCAATTTTTTTCTGTGTCTGTTTATTACCTAAGTTATTCCACGAAAACCGTAATAATTGTACTTAGAAATGCTCAAATTAAATATTCCATTTCCTTTTATAAAACATTTTCCCGGAGGAGAACCTCCAAATCCCAATTTGAATGTTGAGCTTTACCTGCGTGCGCAGCTTTTCAAACGGAAGACAGACATCGCGGTTTGCCATATATAAGATTTGCTGAAGAGTATAAAAGGATGAATTGATAGCATTAATGTGACTTATCCTTTTAAAACCTATGTTCATGTGCCCCGGGTGGGACAGCGGTAAGTCTACGGATTTACAACACTATCATCCGAGGTTTGATTCCCGCGGTGGCCATGGCAGATACCCCAATGTGGCTTTACTATAAAACAACCACACATATATACTATATTCATATAGATTGTTTGCGGTGAATAAAGGACGATTCAAGCACTATATAGTTTTTAAAAAAATATGTTTCATTGGCAACGCTTTATGTTGAGTGTAGAAATCTAGTTATAAATATTCTAGAATTTGATAAGTCATTCTAGTATTAAGATATTCCAACACAAAGGTATATTAATGACAAGAGCGAACATTATATTTTACATATCTAAATAATATACATGGAATAAATAAAAAGCTTTGTTCAGCTGTTTAAGATAAAAGAAAATGCTGTGTTATCTACACATTGTTTCAAATTACGACGCTTTATTGCATAAACATTATCGTCTTTCTCTACTGTTTCATTTTAATCGCAACAGACACCTTATTGTTAGTTGTTACTTTCATTTCCAGGGGACGCGATAACATATTCAATCATAACATCACATTTATTTTATATTATGAATTCATTTCACTTTGCTCTATTTCTGTTTGCTGTAGTGGGACCTTATCTTGCATTATTTTATGTTACTAACTGCTTGGGACGGACATAGTTTAGCGGTTAACGTGTCGGGCTGCCGGTCAAAAGGTTCAAGCCGTAACATACATCTCAGCACGCGGACACTCTCAGCTATGGGAGAGTTAGAAATATGACAGCCAATTACTTGATTCGGTTGATAATAGATATTCGGTGCTACCGACTGGTTACCCGTCCTCCTTCTGTTCAGTGGTTCTAAATTAGGGATAACTGTGTCTTAAATCTTACGAGTATCTAACCTGAAAGTTTAGTCCACGTGCCGCCTAAAGATGCCGTTCATGTTGAATGTGTTAATTCTAATACCAGCTGCTAATTGTATTGTGTATATATATATATATATATATATATATTGATGCCCCAAGTGGCTCAGTGGTAAATTTATAGCCTTACGACGCTGAAAATTGGTTTCAATACCCTTGGTGGGCAGAACAGAGATAACCCATTGTATAGCTTTGTGCTTAAAACAACTAAATCAAATTCTATCTTGATGTATTCACACCCCTCTCAAATCTTGTATGCCAGCTAATAATTACGTAGCACTTTTTTTTAAATAACAAAACAGCTTTTTCAAAACAAGGAACCGATCGTTCAACAATTCGATGAATTTCAAGCCCTAATTTTATGATTTACTAGAAAATCTTTAACATTACAATTATTAGGTTTCTTCTTTTGAGCATGATATTTTCTTGAACAAAATTCCAACAAACTAGCACTAGAAAACTTCGACATTAAAAATATATAGATTAAAATACCCTTATTTATCTCTTAACTGAACTGATGCATATTTCTTTCTTTCTTTCTTTTGTTTGTTTTGTTTTTGGCAAAGCCACTAGGTGAAACAACTCAAAGAATAGGATAAGTATTAATAATTCCCAACTTCCATCTGTTAATACACTTCAATTAAAACTGAAAACTAACCAATGTAACAAAATGTTCGCTCCTTCTCTTTCTGCCAACCTGTTATAGTAGGCGCTGATTTATCCTGGCAAAGAAGTATTGTGACAGTATTAGCGTAACTCGAAGGGCCATGTCAAGTGGTAAGCCTAACCATTGCAACTCTAGTGTAGAAACAGCAATGTTAATAATACTTATTCCCAAGTGTGCATGCCCTCAGTTATCATTATCATAGCTTCAGTTATAACGATCTGTCTTCAAGTACTTGCATGTTTCATTTAATAAACGTTCTTCCCTATTTACTGCAATCGCAAATTTTGGGATAGTCGCCATTTATCCTTTTAGCTGTCTCTTCCGTCCCTAATTCCAGAAGAGGAAGACATAAAAACGACAGGCTACAGCTGGTAGAGGTGAAGGCTAAATAAAACGCGCCCAAGTTATGGCTAATTTCAGTTTCAAAATTGTTCCCAGATGTGGCAGCGGTAAGTTTACGGAGTTGCAATGCTAAAATCCGAGGTTTGATTCCTCGCTGTGGACAGAGTACAGATAACACATTGTATAGCTTTGCATTAACTTTAAGAAAGCAGAAAGCAACAACTTTTAAAAACATCTTGTGTGATACAATCGAATGTTTAAAGTCCTTGAATTTTACATTTTTATTTTTTCAATGTATTCATTCAATAATTTTATAGATTACTTATTATTTGTCTGACATACTGTAAGGGATTAGAGAAACTGAGTAAAATATTTATAACTTATGATTATAAACATTATGATACGATTAATTCCCAATAACGGCAAATACTAAAACGTGAAACGAAGATGCGCAAAAATACATAGTTCTCTACAAATAAATGAAATTGCACTAAAGAAAATCTCGCGCTAATGTTTTATTTTTATTTATTTATTTTATGTTATTTAATGCTGGAAGATGTTAATTTACACATATTAAAATATATAGAATATAATATTCTTCAATTTCTGTCAAATATATATATAAGTTACAGCCTACCAATAAGTATAAATAGACCTCCCCCCCCCCCAAGAATACAAATCAACCATCTCCATGAAGTTATGCAAATAAACCTGACGTTTTGATACAGGTACAGCTAAATTAATAAGTCAAGTGTGGATAAGTAGCTAGCATGCCGGAATGTGAACCCGAGAGTCAGGGAGTTGGCGATAGGTGTTCTTGACTAACTGCCTGTTCTCTAGTCTATCAATTCAATCAGGGTCTGCTAGCGCACGTGGCTTTTGTTCAGCTCTGCACGAATTTACGAAACAAACAAAGCTCGCTAAAGATTACGGAATAAAAATAGTCATGCTACGAACGAAAGGATTTGGGGAACTATTCGTATTTTCACGAGGTCGCATAGTTGGACGGTGGTAGAACGGTCAGTGTCAGCGAGAGCTCGCCAGATCACTTACATTGTTGTTGTTCACAGTAAATATCGTGACAATGCGCTTAATGCATTGTCCAGTTATACGGGGAAAACAACAGTTTATAGACAATCTTGTCACTTACAATCAACTTAACGGACTGTCCGTGCCGTGAGGAAAAGTTGACTGATGACCCACGGAAAACGACCGCTACTATTACAGAACAGATGCACGTGTGCATCAATACCATAATCAGAAGCCAGGCGGAAATCACTCCTCACTCCAGAAAATATAGCACATCGACAGCATTAGGCATCACCACTGCTATCACAGCCCTCTGCCTTTAGGACACTGCAATTTCTTCCGATGAGTTCAGGTTTGCACAATTCTCGGACACTGGACGCACGTGGGCTTGGTGATTTATCCTTTTAGGAGCTTTTGTAAATCATCTGCAAGCCACAACAATGTGAGGCTGTTATTGTGTGGACGCCGTTTTGTCAGTTGGGTGATCACAGTTAGTGATTTGCAAAGGGATCTTTATTGCTAACGACCAAGTTACCAGACAAGGTAGTGTTTCATGCAATAGTTGGTGCTTACTTCATTAACATGAAGGTCAAGGCATTATCTATCTTCCGAGGCCACTATAATCACGATATATGATCTCTATAACGGCTTTATTGTCTGCGAAAACGTTCCAAATAATCAATTTCCAGGAATACCCTAATTCTAGTTCTTCGTCAGGAGTACGGTGCAACCCCACAGGCTCAGATTTTGTAAATACATGTGTAATTGAGTTTCTGCCTTAAATATTGCAAAAGGTTGAACCATTAGATACTCATTTTAATACTGTACCTTTTGTTTCATGGTCATTTAATTAATATAATTACATTATTTCTGGTGTGGATGTCGATTTAATTCGTGGTAAGCTATGTATATAATAAATTAACATTGAAATAGAACACCTTCTGGTGACTTCTATGTCTTTGAAACTTTTTCTCTAAGACAAGAAATGTGCTAGGAATCTTATGCTACAACAACCCTCACCCGCCCCCATGGGTCAGCGGTAATTTACGTACTTACAATGCTAAAATCTGGTGGTCGATTTTCCACGATGGACAGGGCGCAGATAAATAGCCCATTGTGTAGCTTTGTGCTAAAACAGATAAACTTGAATAAATATTCTGTGATTTTAGTTGGAAATGTCTAGATTATTTCATATCAAAAATGTTTGTTATATCATTTCATTTATTACTTCCATAATAATAATAATCAACATCTTACCTTCTTCGATGTCGTTTCTTGCACTCGATTCTAAGAGAATAACGCTTGGAACGAAACGGATGTTGTGTTGGCCACTAGGTGGTTTCCGGGTGCGTTCCGATTTTTTTCTCATTTTATAAAAATCTTTTTCATTTTGACTCCATCGCTTCAGCTGTTGTTGCCGTCTTTTACGTCCGAGTTGAACTCTTTCATGCGCGCTAATATTTTCGAAGAGAGCCATTTCGGCCACTAACTCCTCGTGTTCCGCCATCTATGGTCACTTTCTTCTCTGTATATCAAACCTTTTTAAAAATAGTGAAGTTTACACGGAAATACTGTTTATATGTACTGTATCTCGTTTTCCTTCGGATCACAAGTTTCACACTTCACAAACCTCTAGTACTTATTATAAACTAGAGAAAGGCACAAAAAATCGAGCATGCTCGAGTGCAACCAATCATACAATGGGAGTATCACGCCGAAATGTGATAAACCTGTCCTTATCACTTACATTTGTCTCTGCAGACGTACCTATGGAAACAAAAACCTGTATGTGTGTATATATATAAAATAAATAAATGGTTTACACTCAGCTACCTGTTGTATATTAATAGATAGTTTATCAATAGATTGTATATTCAATAATGCATTTATAATCAATGTAGATTTTACTTTAATCATGCATATATTTATATCATTGTCTAATTTTTACCACTTTTTTCTTGACTTTGCATCAATTAGTTGATAAGTTTCTTTTTTTAGTTCTCATCTATATAGATAACTTGTATTTTCGTCACACAAATTATTAATATAACATTAGGACGCCATCTTGTTGTACATGGTAAAAAAATATAACTGACGTAACATTAGAGCATCATCATGCTGTACATAGTAAAAGAAAATAACTGATATAACATTAGAGAACCATCTTGCGTCTTCCTACAAGCTGTAAACAATAGAATAAAACAGTAAACATTAGCAGATAGTTGACTTAATGTTGGAGCTCCATGTTACTTCCTCTTACACGCAGTAAATAAGAGAAGAAGGTAGTTAACGTAACATTAGAGCTCCATGTACCTTCTTCTCCTGTTTACTGTCTGTAGGAAGAAGTAAAGCTCTAATGTTACGTTAACACATATTACTTCTTCCTACAGACAGTAAACAGGAGAAGAAGGTAGTTAACGTAAAGTTGAGCTCATATTACTTCTTCCTACAAACTGTAAACAGGAGAAGAAGGTAGTTAACGTAACATTAGAGCTCCATGTTACTTCTTCCTACAGACAGTAAACAGGAGAAGAAGGTAGTTAACGTAACGTTGGATCTTCATGTTACTTCTTCCTGTAAGTTATAAACAGTTAAAGAAGGTAGTTAACGTAACATTGGAGATTCATATTACTTCTTCCTACAACCTTTAATTAAACAGTAATTGAAGAAGGGAGCTAATGAAATGATAAAACACCATATTGGTTCTTCCTACGCACTGCAAACAGCAAAAGGAAAAAAAAAAGAGTTAGGTAACGTTTGAGTACCATGTTGTTTTCTCCTACAAGCTGTAAACAGCAGAAGAAGGAAGATAAATAACAGTAGAGCCCAATAACGCTATAGACTACCTGCAGGATCAGGATACATATTGGTAATTTCCACGAACAGTTGCTGTTTTTGTTTTTGTCAAAACTGCCGTATATTGCGCTTAATAATGATGGCAGCACTAACTATTTAGTAGAAACTACTACTGCCATCTATAATTAGTTATGTATATGTATTGAACTAACTGAATAAATCAGAGGTTTTTGACAATGTGTAAGTTACGCTGTCTTACCTAACTTGAAAAAAATGTAACATGTACCAGAAGTGAAATCTCTTCTTCTCAAGTATTTTATTTAACTCAAGTGAATTTACAAATGGATTAATTACGTCCTCCGCCAAGCTTATAGTTTCTCAAACTTTCGGCGATAGAAGTAAAACGTTTTATTGCATTTGACAGAAACGGAAGTGAATGCAAATAAATTACAAGCTTCGTATTACTCTACGTAGTGGGTGTGGGCATGTGTGAGAAGCTTTAGAGGTTTACAACACGTTAGAGTTTGCAAATCCTGCAGACAAAGAAAGACTATTACCGGCCTTAGAGAAGTTTGAAGCAAAGTGTAGTTTACATTCTTTCTTTAAGATAAATCAACATAAAAGTAATATTACTGATGAGCTTGTGATCGAAATTAAACACGTAATTATAAATGTGGTAATCTGCAAGAGAGTTTAATACGTGACAGAATAGGTTCATTATTGTTAGATGAACACCTTCAAAGGGAACATTAAAAAAGCTTTAAATATACACCGAGTTGTGGAAATTTCACAAATACAAGTTAAAAATCTGGAGGTTCGTGAAAGAGTTGCTTATGATGTCGAGAAGGTGCGTGTTTCTCTACAGGCAGCATAAGAAATGCGGTTTCTAGCAATATGAGTTGAAAACCAAGTAACTCAGATAGAGTGAGTTGTATAAAAAGTAGAGATCAAACTATGAAAAAGATTAGTAGCGTCAGGAAGGAGACATTTCTAAGTTAGGGTTAATTAAATGTCACACAATGACCTTCTTCTTGCAGGGTGACATATCTTCCTACAGTATGGAGAATCGTGTAATGCATCGTACAAAAAAATAGAAGTCAGACGTTGCAAAAGGGGAACTAGCTTCTGGAAGGGTACCTATACAAATGTAAAGGTTGTGGCACAGTGCCCAGCATATGAACAAGAACGTTAAAATTGTAAAACGCTGTACATATAGTTGATGGGACTTATATGTAGGATCTCTTGTGGCCATTTCTCCTAGTTTTAATTCTAGTGAGTTGTTTGAATACATTGATGTAAATGGTAATCCTGTAAAAATGTAAACTTTATACAGGTGCACAGGTTAATGTAATATCAGTGGATAAGTACCAGAGGCTAGGTTTGAAGACCAGTAAGCTAATCAAGCGTCCAGTAAGTTGACTAAATTTCAACAACTGTTTCATAAAAGCATTGCTTAGTTATTAAAACGTCATGAATCTGATGTATCGAAATATGAAATCCATATGATGGTAACATATTTCAGTCAAAAATACATAGTTTCATAATGGCCGCGCTACCCTACCAGCAACAGTGACACACGTTATATTATTATTATTATTCTCAAATCTATCTTTCTTCATTAATTGTTTGATGTTGGAGACCTTGATCTACTATCCTTGTCACAACCAAATCCATTTTGAGTGCCGCCACCGTATCTTAATAGATGGATTTGCCTCAACAAGGACTGTCAAAAGTTAACCGAAATCGCACCTACAGCTATTTCACAGGTTGCAAGTTGAACATCTCAGAACCTTGCACGTGCAGACAATTGAGGGAATAACAGTGAATGATAATGTCATGACAAAGAGTAGAAAAGTTCGAGTCACGGTCAGGGGGGCTTGGAGCCACCAGTTGAAGATCTGTTGGGCTGAAATAGATGCAACGAAGAGGGGAAAAAAAGAAGTTGCACATGAAGTAGTGTCATTAACTACGGGGTTTCTTCTGATTATGTGACTAGTCAAAATTTGATCAATTTTTGTTAGATTTCGAAACTTTAAATTTTTATCGTTATATCTCGTCGTATGCTATATTTCACCAAAAATCGGATAAATCCTGGACTTTTACATTTAATCCCTGCCATTGAGACGCCTCTGGTTGACGGAGAGATCCTTGCTTGCTTGCTTGCTTGCTTGGAATTAAGCACAAAGCTACACAATGGGCTATCTGTGCTCTGCCCACCACGGGCATCGAAACCCGGTTTATAGCGTTGTAAGTCCGCAGAAATACCGCTGTGCCACTGGGGGATGCAGAGATCCTTGCTTGCTTGATTGTTTGTAATTAAACACAAAGCTACACAATGGGCTATCTGTGCTCTGCCCACCGCGGGCATCGAAACCCGGTTTATAGCGTTGTAAGTCCGCAGACATACCGCTGTGCCACTGGGGGATGCAGAGATCCTTGCTTGCTTGCTTGTTTGTAATTAAACACAAAGCTACACAATGGGCTATCTGTACTCTGCCCGCCACGGGCATCGAAACCCGGTTTATAGCGTTGTAAGTCCGCAGAAATACCGCTGTGTCACTGGGGGATGCAGAGATCCTTGCTTGCTTGCTTGTTTGTAATTAAACACAAAGCTACACAATGGGCTATCTGTGCTCTGCCCACCACGGGCATCGAAACCCGGTTTATAGCGTTGTAAGTCCGCAGAAATACCGCTGTGTCACTGGGGGATGCAGAGATCCTGTAATAATACCGGTCTCTACAAAAATTTCTTCAGATGTTCTTCGATGTACACAAAATCTTTACTTATCAAAATGGGTTAATGGCTTTTTTTGGCTACATCTCTGAATGTGTAATAATAGGGTGACTGTTTAAGATTAGGAATCCATAATAACTTGGATACTACATAATTGTTCGTATTTGTGTCAACTTCAAATGATGTTAAAATTTTATTACGTTGTTTGATGATGTTGTTGGCATTGTTTTTAACATAAGTGTAAACAGAATTACCTGAAAGTTACAACTTTTTTAATATTGTAATCGAGTTCCTTACAAAATGTAATAGTATAGCACTTTTGCAACAACAAAAAATTAAGTTGTTGACTACTTTATCTGCTGATATTATGAAATATTTTTCATGTAAGTAGTTTATATTATATATTATTTTGCATCCTAAAACGCGGAGTATGTTTCTGCGAAAACGGGTTGCGAACCACGAATCCTCGGAATACACAAACCAGGCTCGCTAATCACTAGACCGCAACCGTGTTAACGTCATGTGAATTAACGTCTGGAATTTCCTTAAAAGCTTAGGAAATGTTTTTAAAGTATAAAACTGTAAGTTAGGCGAGATTAGGTTGTAGAGATTGTTGATTGATTATTGAGTCAGCTAGTTGGCAAGTTCAACGCTTTAAATTTTAACTTTGCGTTTTCAAAAAAATATTAGAAATACGAGAAAAACAACGTACGAGAAAATTGGCAAACAAGTGAATTCTCTGTTGAAGCGTTATTTGTTGTTGAAATTACCATTATTTACATAGAATATGTACAAGATGTAGAATTTGTACTCTGAGATTTTAAATGCTTTAGTTATCATTAAGTGGTTTAGACACTGCATTATTTATTTTTACCAAATAATCTAAGAGAAGCCCCAAATGTTAGAAACTGCTGTAATACTGGTGTGAAGAGTGGGATTATTCTGGTAAAAATAAAATAGAATCCATAGTTAACTTCAAAATACCGACACTTGCTCGAAGTGAGAACGAAAATTTGCTTGGGATGATAAAATGGTGAATACAGATATTTTAACACTCTTTCTGAAGAGAAATATTCATGTGGAGAGGACACTGAACCATGTCGAACCAAAGGACACTAACTGTCGAAGAAATTAGTCTTCCAATTCTCCATAAAAGTGGGAAAATTCACTCACAAAATGATAAAAGCATCTAGAACAACAACAGGCTCCAAAGCCTAATACCAACAAGATTTGGCAT